GCTGCCCCCCCATGCCTGCCCTCCTGCTGCTGGCCAGGCTGGCGTGCCCTCCTCCCTCCCCCAGGGCAGGGAAGGGGTGGGGCTGGAAGGGGATCGGGGGGCTGTCATGACATGGTTCAGACAGTCCCTTTCTCAGCCCACCTGGAGGATTGCTCTGGCTGCAAGTACCAGATGTACCCACCCAGTGCCAATTGCTCAGCAATGTAACGCAAGGGATCCAGGGCTGTGGAGTCTCCAGCACTGGGAACACTTAAGAGCAGGTTGGACGGACGTCTGTCAGGGATGACCTAGATGCCAGGAGGGCAGGGGCCTGGACTCGACCTCCCCGAGGTCCCTTCTGGTTCTAGCGTTCTGGGATTTTCATTCCCAGCGGGGGCCGTGCCCCTCGCCGCCTTGCATACTTACCCCCACGAAGGGCGCTAGCTCCGGCGGGACAGGGAGCGGTTTGGCCCCCGGGATGGGGTCGGAGATGATGAGGTTCGATTTGGACGTCGACAGGGAGCTGGGGATGATCGTGCCATTGCTGCTGGCGACCATCTGCTGCATCAGCTGGACAGCCCGGTCTGGGAATTTGTTGGGGTCGGCGCAAGACTGTTGCCAAATCGGGAGTTTCTGCGTCAGGATCTCTTTCCCCTAGAAGCACAAAGGGAGAAGTGAGACCCCCAGAGACCCACCGACAAATCCACTCACCTCTCAAGCTGGGGGGCAGAGAACTACCCGGGACGCGTGTGCCTCATGCGGGATTCCCGCTGGCACAGAAAACGGACCAGGATTATGTGCATCTGTAGCCGGCGTGAGATACAAAGCACCACCCGGCCGGCTCTCCTCTTGGCCCATCTCAGTAGAGCAGAGAGACGGCGCACCCGGCAGGTGTAACCAACAGGGCTGAGTGCACCAGCTGACAAGCAGCTGTTGACGTAAAACGGCTAGAGTTGCCAGATGGTTTCAATAAAAATACCGGACACACTTAACATGACATCACCATCGACATTCCAGCTTATTTAGACAATACCGGACGGTTCTATTGTCTCCGTTTGTTTCCCAAACAGAAAGCTCAAATACTGGACTGTCTGGTTCAAAACTGGACACCTGGCCACCCTAAAAACGGCCGATGAGCCAGTACGGGCTCATGAAAAATGGAAGGGGATTGCGTTTCTCGCGCTTGCTTGGGAACGCTCTGCAGGCGTGGCTGCTCCAAGAACGGACGTGCCAAAACCAGCAAGGGAAGAGCTGGGCGATTTCGTGTATTTGACCTCTCCTGGATACCAAGAAGTAATTCCTATCCAAGGCTCAGTCAAGGCGAGCTCCGGGAACCACCCCTTCTCCCTATCGCCCAGCTCGCTCAAATCACGTGGCTGTTTGCGGACCAGAGAGTTCTGGACTAGAGAGGTTCAAGGGTTCCGAAGGGCCGCTGGTATCTCGTGGGGCTCCAGCAACGTTTGAGGGGCTCGGAAGCATCCGGCTCTGAACCGAACAGTTCCCCCCCGGAACGTGTACTGGGTTTGGACTCCGCACACGTGACCGAGCGAGGCTGCGGTGACTCACTGGGACTCTTCTGTTACTCCCTTGCTCAAAGCTCCCTCGTGGCAGACGGAGATTACAAGTGAGATGAGCGACAAGTAGGGGGGGGAAAACCCACAGGAATAACTCGAACTGTGATCACAAGCAGGCGGCCGGCTGTTGTGTTAAGGAAGCAGCAGGCGTTACGGACCCTTAGTGGCATCGTTAGCTAACGGACCACCACAAGGGGGCAGGAGCACTCTGCCCCAAGGCCTGGG